TTATCCTTGTGCCCCGCCAACAGTCGCAGATCTGCTAGTATTATAGGCAGAAAATTATTAACGACTGAGACTACAGAGACAGGAATGACCCCTTCTAGCCTGGTAGTCGTCACGCGTCAACCATAGTCAATCCCAGATGCGTTGCCGGCCTGCCCTCCAATGCAAACATATACATATAAACATACGCGATGATGCTGGTCCCGTCTGTGGAGATGGAGGGAAAACATAAAGCGATCTCCGGGGTGGAGAGTAAAACCTAAGTTAAATAGAACTCCCCCAGAGATTACCTTATTTCCTCCTTTTATAAATATATTTTGCCGCGTTAACAAACAATATAGTTACTTTATGATACCCTTTTTGTTAACCTGCTATGGTTTTCCTGTTCTCGGCTGTAAAACACCCTGAGAGACAAAACTTAGAATACATCTGATGGGCATATGAGGCTACGCTGCCTGTGCTGCAGTATTTTTATGCACTATTACTTCTGCTGCTCGAATAAAATTATTTTATAGTATAAAGTGCCGTTTATATATGCTTTCCAATCCCTAGACGCGTCTCTAAACGAAATATGCAGATGCGATACCCAACTCTTGATCGACAACACCAACGACATCGTAAAACTTCCTCGTCATCTAGGTTAGTTTACCGAGACAATTCATGGTTTTACATATGCACAAACAGTGATTTCTTTATGCAGATCTAAACTTCAATTGAGCACGAAATGTGTTGTTTACTTTCCTTTATCTATTCTCTTTCAATATCAATACTTTGGCCGCCTGAATCATCAGTGCTTATTTCATGAAGATGAAAAAACAGAAATTCTGAAACAGTTATTCGATGTTTTCCTCTTAGAAGCACAATTAAGTGGGGAACAAGCATGCCTGAAGATGACTACGTAAACGACGGAAACTGGTCTCGGAGGGTTGGTGGCTCTGTTGCATCCTCGATTCACGGTGTTCAAGACACAACGGTGAGACGAAGCACTTATCTCCTCCCTCTACCAATAGCCGCCATTTTTCTTTTAATTTTTTGGAACATTGATGAAGTAATAGTGCTGAAAATTCGATTCCCGGGTGATGGATCAGAAGGAAGAGGAGCGTTCACTGGGAG